TTGAATTAATTAATTAAATTATTTAACGGTTAAAAAACTTGGTTTTTTTGTGAGAGAATTAAGTAAAATAATGTATAATGATTGTCAAGGCTCAGTCGGTAAAATGTAGCTTGGTTCGAAGTACAAGCTGTTACCAAAAAAATGTATAAAAAGGGCCGACATTTATACTTTGAAATTATTTAAAAATACGATTAAAATAATTTGTGTCGCTTTCATCGTCAACGTGAAAAAATTCCCGCGATTGCACGCGTTTTTGGATCGATTTTTCCGAAGCTAGTCGCTGCAGCTGACATGAATCACCGAGAGAGCGAAAACTAGCAAGGTACTTTTCTCCTTTCGACGATTATAATATAAGCGTGAACAGCGCACATCGAAAAAGCCTTATTAATAATACAAATGCGAGGAACAGAACAAAAGATGGCTCGGTATGGATTCTTCGGTATCTTCTATGGCCATCTATTGGGCTGCTTACTTTATGCGTAAGCTTATTGTTGCACGAAACAAGTAACAAAATAAGTTTATGAACAAAGTTGGTTCGAAGGTATCTGTAAGCTTTTTACAAAATCTATCAGCAGCATAAATTTGTACCTACGTCATTTGTGTTTTTGTTGCAATTCATTAGATTTATATATTATTTTTAATTGTTTCTTACGTTCGCAGGAACATTATAATATAATTGCATCTATGGTAAAGAGTTGTACAAATTTCGAATCAAATGTGTTGTTTTATAATTTAATCAAATGGACAAAATTTTATGTAAATAAAATAAAATTTATATACATTGCAGTTTCTAGGTAGGTGAACTTACAAAAGATACTTTAACGCATGTCATAGCAGTACTAAATTATTTAATTTTTGTAACTCATTAAAACCCATGATCATTCGTAGCGCCTTTAAGTTCACCACATAAACACTTAGCGTAAAAATCTATTAAATCTATTTAATCGAGAGAATGACATTCTCTCGACTCGTTTTTTTTTCCAAGTTGATCAAGCCCGATCACGCGTATTTAAATTTTATAGAGCATCATATAGGTTAAAAGTACAGTAATTGAATGAAAAACGAGTTTAACGAGTCAACTCGTTTGAGTAGAATAATTGACAATTGTACGGGATAAGAAAAAATTATAGAGAGTATTTGGGCACATGGATATGATTTAGTACGATTTTGCTTAGTGTTGTTGAAAATAAATGGTAAACGCTAATTTCTGAGTGATGCACCTGATCTCAAAAATAAAAACATGTGTGAACGTGCCGTAATCGTCATAATAATGTCTCATCGTAACGCTTTTTTTGTAAGATATTTGTTTTCTCCAAGACCTTTGTCGTATCTACATAACTGACTGAAATTGTCACTGCGTTACTATGAGTGGATACGAAGCGTAGAATCGAATCTCGCTGTGTAAGTCTTTCCATGGCGATCGTCTCTGCGAGAATTTTTTGTACATATTTATATTGAACGACGTATTCCTGCCAAAAATTTAATTCGTTCGTCATCACTTTTGATTTCCGTTGTCTTTCCTCGAAGTAATAATTCAATTTAAAAATAGCGTAAAGTATTTGAACAGTCCAAAAAAGAGCGAACAACGACATTTGGTGCAATACATGAGAAAGTGTGAATGAAAATTTAGAGTTAAAAGTGTAAGAAAGGCAGAGACGAGTTACGCGCTTACATAAAACAAATCAAATTAAAAAAATAAAATCTACTCTGGTGATGTTGTACAGTCGAAAGAATGTGTATATTTGTCTCAATGAATTTGTACATTTTGCTGTAAATTGTTATAATTTTTATTTAATGGTTGTTATTGTATGCATAATGAAATGATATGTACCGATTAAAAGAGCGTCTAAGAAAATATTTAAACGCGATTAATAAACAATATTTTTTTCGTATAAAAATCTGTTTCTATTTATCATCTCATCAGTCCTCAAATTCCTAATTTATCTTATCTGTAGAGAATGTACTAAATAATTATTTAATTGTAAAAAATTCGTATTTTTCGCACCTGCAAATGACTTGAATGGATCGATACAGGGACGTAATCATCATTTGAGGACCTGAGCCAACGATTGCAGGGACCTGTTTTAGTGGCAGACTTTTTAACAGATTTGAGATAATTGATGCATATTTTCATGTTCTTTGCAAGTTTAATTGCCTTGAGTAAAAATGTATATTTTTTCAATTTTAATGCATTTTTTAAATACAAAAATAATCTGTAAAACAGTACTACTTATTCCGCTGAAGTTGACAAACTACAAAAAGTCATTTTCAAAAATGCAAGCTACTATCGTTTAATTTTTTTATTATATTTTTTTTAGGCTACAGTTATACTTTTATGTTAATATTTTTTAAAAGCTAATAAAGAAAAATATTTTTTATTCAAACAATTTGTTGGTAATACAGTGAAAAATATTTTTTTTGGTTATTTATACGTGAGAAAAACTCTTTCTATATCATCAATATTGAATAACACTTGTTATCAATGTTCCAGATTATTTTCATACACTAGTTTATCAAAAAATAAAATACGTTAAGTTACAAGACCCGTCCAAGATTCTTAAAAATCTTAATTGTGTATATAGCAGTCTTTATACTTACATTTTTAAGCATTTGGCTTTCAGTTCACTGCTGGTCTGCTCTAAAAACTAATTTTTTTTTTTTTTTTTAATTTATGGGGTTTCTCCCCAAAAATGGTTGGGGCTCAGGCCCAATCCAGCTCATACATTATATATTACAGCCCTGAATGATATCTAGGCATTCTACTTTATCGAGCATTGTGAAGCTTTTCAGCAAATGGCTCCGAAATGGTTTACAGTTTTCACTACTCATAAAAAATTCTACTTATGAATTTAACAAAATAAAATATTTTAATAATTTAAGTACCTAATTAAAAATGTGATCTTAATACACCAGAAGCAGAACATACGTTTAAAATCAGCACCAGACATGTTAGTAAATGAAAATCTAACCTTTACAGTGTTTTATCTATATGTATATGTGTATACTTGTCTGTGATAAATTTCACAGTGCATCAAAGTTTTTAAATAATCAGGATATTTAATGTTTGTACGAACGAAGTAAATATTTATTTGTTACTTTTATATTATTGGATATTAATTAGTGTACGAAATTTAAGTAGTTCATATTTATAAATATAGTAATTTTTCTATTACAGATAAGCATGATTTCCCTCATCTATTTGATAGCTTCAGCAATTTATGTATGAAATTTATTTTAAAGTAAAATATTCATTTTTAGATGTCAATGTTAATAAGATGTCATCAGTAAAAATAAAGTCAAATAAAAAAACGCAAGAACGTCAAAGTGATTGGTGGGATGATTTTGTCAAAGGAAATTACAACAATGAACAATGTCTGAAACATCTTAAATGCTCAAGAAAGACTTATTTATTTTTAGTCAATTTTTTAATGCCATATACAAAACCAAAAATAGGAGCATCCAATGACAATGATATTTATTTACGCAAGGGTGAGGCAGTACACGTTGTTTAAATGATTTTTTGTACAAACAAACATCATGATAACTGTATTTTCAATTTTCAGGTGTTGAGGTCGAAAAACAGGTGGCCGTTTTACTTTTCAAATTAACAACCAATGCGGATTACATCACTATTTCTAAAAAATTTAAAATCCACAAGACAACGATCCACAAGATTATTTATAAATGTGTAACAGCGTTGAATAAATATCTGCTACACGACGTTATTAGTATGCCAAAGAAAGAAGAAGTTGAATTTATGGCCAAAGATTATGAGTGTTCCTACAAGATACCACAAATAATTGGAACAATGACGATTGTTCACATACCCATATCATCGCCGCTACTTTTGAATTATCAGTTTTTGAATGCACGCCTTTATGCGTCATTCGTATTGCAAAGTGTTGTGGATTCTAACAACTTGTGCGTTTATTTTGATATTTTACCAAAAAATTCCATTGTTCAGTTTTTGATGTATCGATAATAATAAATCTTTTTGACATCAGTTTTAGAGATGTCAGCGTTCGACATGCTGGTGCTGCTGAGCTTCATACCGTTCTTGCCGATTCAAATATTTACAAATATTGGAAAAAAGTCATACCACCCGTAAGTTAGTTGAAAATCAGTCTATTACATTATACTTATTATAAAATAATAGCATTGACAAGTTCGTTTTTTGCAGGCAAAAAGTAACTTTAATGGCACGAATGTATCCTACAAAATTGTCGGTCCAGCACAAGGACCATTATTTTCGTGGTTGTTGAATAATTACAGCCCACCCGCGACGATTTCTGATTTATTTTTTAATACAAAGCTCGAGGAAATTCGTGCGCACGCGAATTCAGTAATCACGAGGTTGAGATCACGGTTTTCCATTCTTAGTCAGCCAATGGACTTAAGTTACAAGGTGGCGCCGCAAATAATCGCAGTTTGTTGCATAATACACAACATATGCGAGAAAAATAATGATATATTTCTGGAAGAATGGCAGGATGAATGCAAAGCATTTTTGAAGAAGTACCCGCAACCGGGTATGAATGCCGAATGGGAGCAGCCAAGTGATAAAGTTCGGGAGGAGCGTGATGCGCTCAGGGATTACGCTAATAATCAGGATAACAATGCAGAACCAACGGAAGACTTATTGGAGGCAGCTTTAAATGCAGCAATATTGGATTCTGTTGACGATGTTACTCATTTCGATTCAATATTGCACTGATTTTCGTCTTTTTATATCCGTCCTAGTCATTTTTAGGATATTGAAGTATGGCATTTACACCAAAAATCCTGAATAACCAAAGATCTAATGCAATCTAAGGCAATAATGCATTTTTTAATAATTCGTCGTTTTGAGAATATTCTGTATGGCCAGCAGAATCGTTTTTATAATGCCATTATTTATTTCTGTTTTTATTGTTCTAGTCTTAGTTTTTGTGAGTGTTTATACAATATTTAGGCACGACTGCTTCATAGTAGGAGTCTCGTACATTTTAGCCACAGAAAAAAGTGGTTAACCCAAACCACTCATAAATCATCTATTTTTTTGGTATAAAACAAATTTGAAATCTCATATGGATATGTTTTTAGTATTACAAAGAATGTGAATTAGTGCATGTCCATACGTATGTATGTATGTATGTATGTGTGTATGCAAATATTAAATAAGAGTATCTCCAAAAATTTCTATACAATTGGGTTTTGTGTCTATACCACAATTTGCTAGTTTTTACATTTTTAACAGAAAAATTTTCATCTGTATTTGGCCAAGAAAAGTTTCGTATCTCATTAGATATCAATTTATTGTACTGTACGGTTTTTATCTAGGATGTAATTCTGACGATCGTAGTGCCAAAATTACTTTAAAATATAATTAAAAAATTGATTTCTGCCTATGGTAGCAAAAAGTTAAAATTTAACAAAAAAATCTCAAACCCAAAGTTGTGTATTTTCATTTATTTATTATAATATACGGGCCATAGTCAATTTAAAAAAATACGTCTTCAATGTGCCATGTCAAGCAGCCCGTAAGACAAAACTCGCAAATTATGTATATTAATCTTTCACAAACATACGTAAAAAATATAATTATGACTAAGAACAACTATAAAAAGGATTATTCTTAGTTCCCTTTTAAATTGACTGATTAGCGGTACGTTATACATTTGTGCAGCTTAGGAGTTTTTTAGTTTTACTAATTTAGCACCAGAGACCAAGAATAATCGTGTTTTGTTTTGAATTAAAAAAAAAAAGAACAATATTGAAAACAGCTAATGACATGCTTTTTTTCCCGTAATATAAACGTTTAATAAATTAGATTCGAGTAGATTTGAGAAAAGTTATACATCTTAACAAAAAGTACAAATTATACATGATTTTATTTAAAAAAAATAAAATATCTATGTCAGAAAAGTACAACCTTCGAAAAAATTTTTTCAGTATCAATTAAAGGATTACTCACTAGTCACTTGGTTAAGCCTTTATAGTCATTGGCGATAAGTCTGATCAGAGCACAGATTTTTTTTAAACGATTACATTTCGATGTATGCTGTAGCCATAAGTACTTTTTGCTTTGGTGAAAGTTGTAGCAGTCGTGTCTTGTGTGTAAAAGTTCTTTTTTTTGCACAAATTTAGCCACTTGTTCTAAATAAGTTGGTTTGAACTTGTATGGTTTTCTATAGTATTGAATTTTATATCGTTTTTTAGATGGTGTGAAAAATAAAATGTGTGTTCGCAAAAATTCGTTGTCTTTTAATTTTCAATAAAAAAAGCATAATATCTGATTGGTAAGTAACTATTCCTACTATACTAAAAGAATCAACCACAATTACAGCTAAAACTAATTACAAAGCATGTCTTACCCGCCAAACTCCGCCGTTGGGTGTTTGACTAAATTTTATAACTTTTTATTATTTAACTGCCAGATTGTAGTTGAATTGATGTAGAGCTGTTATTAAAAACTTTTTTGAGAATTAGGAAATTTTTTGTTTTTTTTACGTATTACATCTTGAAAAATATTTTATACTCTCGCGAAGAAGCGAATCTGTTTACGTATCGTAACATGATTAGCAAGGTATAAACTGATAAGTTGTTTTGTCGTTGGTTGAAACAATTTTAAAGGTTTAGATAAGTTCACGAAGGGTAAGATAAGAATTCACGTACATTTGCAGGAATTGAGACAATACTTCGTAATGGAAAGCAAAAGTTTTATTATTTGTACTTTTTATACTGAGTCTTCACATAAAAATGTAATTTTTTTCGCTAGTATTAAGATAAAAAAAAGAACAATAAAATTAAAGAAACACAAGGCAAGATTCTCATCCTTCGTTTAAAAATACTTTCAACCTACATTGTAAAGATTAAATAATAATTTTCTTATCATGATTCTTTTATTTTTTAGAGATTGTACAATTTGAATCAAGATAATTAATTTTATATTATTATTTTTGTCTTATAAAGCTCATACAGTCAACAACTATAAATAATTAATGCATGATAACCTGACTGACGTAAAAAGTTTCTCGATAGTAATTGGATAGTAATAATTAATGTTCGATTTGTCGGGGAAATACCAATGCGGGATGTACTTAAAAAAGTACGGAGCAAAAAACATTGCAGTTTTTTTTTTTTTTTTTTTTTTTTATATTCATGCACACAGGGTAAGGAACAAAATTTCCTAAGTAAAAAAAAAATTATTCAAACTGTATGTGCAAAATAAAGAAATTAGAAATCGACTTCATATTTCGGTTCGATAAATTATTAGTTTGATTTAATCAAAGTTAAAATAAAAGATTGATATTTATCATGGTCATTATAAATAAAGTTTATTCATACAGAAATTCAAATTAATTAAATGAAACTTTTAAAAGATTTTATGCGTAACGTATTGAGATCAACAATTCTTACAATAATTAATTTTATGATTTAAAGATAAGATTAAAATATATAAATTTGATAAAAAGAAGATACATGCTTATGAATAAAAAATTTGTTTACATTATGTTGAATAATCATGTGACCCCATACTTATTAATTTAAAAAAATTAAGAAGAATTAACATATGAAAAAGTAGTGCGTCGAACACAACTAAACTAGTGGTATTCCGACATTGAAAAATTTTTTTTCAAGCGAAATTCCACTGTAAAAACAGTAAAAGGTACTGTAAATGATAAAATTACATGAATTTACAATAAATAAATTTTTTTTTTTCATCTCAGCATGTTTAAATTAAACTTCCATATTGTCCGTTTTAACCATTCAAACCCATTTCCAAGCAGATAAAAATCACAAAAATTTTGCGCCTTACGCACGATTACATGAACTTGTTGGAACAAAATTATCACAAACTCTCCACCCCACTCCTATGTTTTACACCCAATCAAAACCCTAATACAATAAAAATCGTGCAATTTCTTATAAATTTTCTCCCCCACGCAATTCAGACGTGCAAATACAAAGTATATATATATATATACGCGAGAGCCAAAAATACTCTGCACTGCACCGCGGCTTGGCTAACACTTGCCTCCTACTTTTTCCTCCCGTGAATCGCAAATATCGCAACAACAAGTGGCAGAACGAGTCTGGCGGCCGCTGGAGCCGCACCACACACGTCTGTGTGCTTCCCCGCGGTCTTTCTCTCTCACGAAGGTGTCTGCGTGCGAGTCTCCGATTATGTGCGATCCAAGGAGTGTACCTGTGTACTAACTCAGTTTGGCTCTATAAGAAAGCGCTAACAAATTGAGAGTTGTTTTTTTTTTTTTGTTTTTTTTTTTTCTTTTATTCAATTCCTCGATAATCGTTGGTAAAAATGAAGCTCGTTGTTTCTGCCAACGTGATAGTGTTGATGCTGTGCGCGAGTTGTACCAGTATGGTTCTGGTTGATAAAGAACCGAATCAGTACAAGGGCCTGTCGGACTTCCGATTTCCCGGTCCGATGGCGAGGCCGAGCTTCAATGATAACGAGGTTCGTATACACTGCTTGCAGTTTTTTTTTTTTTTTTTTTTTTCATTGAAATAAACTTTTCTATAAACTCGTGTAAATTGAAAAGTTATCCTGGTGGCTTATCTTTTTCTTTTTTTACTCCAGCTAATGTTTATCGAAGAAATTGTTTACATCCGGTGTTGCAACGGCAGAGTGTACGACCTTTTTTTCAGCGCTAAGATTTGTCATGCCCATCATAATATTATTTATTTTATTTGGCTGGTTGTTTCATGCTCACAAATAAATATCTACTCAGGTGTTTTGCTGAACGATAGCGCAAGACTCAGTTTTTTGGTCATTCAACTTTCTTACCCAATAACAAGACTTTATTATCTTATCGTGCAGCGGAAAAAAAAAATTTCTCTCATTAATCATCTAATGTTTTCTGCTTATTGTTACAAATGCGAGGACTTGATGAAAAAACATATTTATTTCGAAGAATTTGTTAGTCGTGAAAAAAAAAAAAATAAATAAACATACAACAATCGCTTGAGGTGGATGTCACAATATTCATGTCACAAGCTCGCACGGCAGCTTCGTGTTACGTTCACTAGGATTTTATTGCGTAACTCTATCGTACGGTACACAATTCGTCGGCGCCATCGTCACCTGCTTTACGAATTTCGGAAACGTCAAAAACAAAACCCACACCCACGCACCATCAATGAATTTGTTTCTTAATTTTCAAGCGATAAATAATACACGTGTGTTTAAAATTCTCAATTAAATATCAGCTGTGTGAAACCATAAATACTTACTTCGCGTCTACCGGATGACTCATACAATTTTTAAAACGACTTGATACACATTCGGTATCCCGGCGATTTCGAGAATGCATTACAACCCACGTCTGTAGAGAAACTATTGCAAAAAACTCTTGAAAAATATCTGAAGGAATGTAAACATGTAATAATAATTATTAGAATAATTGCCAAGAATCATCTTGTAAATCACGCATGCAGGTCCCTCTTTCCCTCTTGCATACCTCGCGTGCATTTAAATGTACGTAATAATACGTGTGCTGTAATGTGACATGCCGATTTTTTTATTTTTCGTTATTTCTGCATAGAGTCGATAATAAGTATTGTAACCGGTAAAAAGTTAATGAAGTCTACGGTAGCCGTTGGTGGTGCTTTGAATAAACGACATTGTGGTTTATTGCTAATTATCGTCAGAATGGGTTTTTCCTCTTAATTATTTAGATTTTTGATTAAAACGTATCACCAATAGTTTTTTTCCTACTTAGAACAATCAACGTACTATAAATGTAGATTAATGCGATTTCTTAAAGATTCTTCGTAGGTTATTTGTAGTTTACGCAGAAGTATAAAAATTCATTTTTGTTATGTTATTTTTCTCATTAAAATTACCACTGCATACGCTGAATTGATGTACGCGTGTATGTACTGTATACAAAGTGTAATAAAAAGGTATATTAGTTCTTTTATTTAAAAATATAAATAGGTAGAGCTTCAAACGATTTTTCTTCAAGACTAATATTACAGTAACTGTTTAAAATATACGCCTACTGCACAGTATTTGAACACTTTTCCCTTAATTTTTATTTAGTCCACCATCTGCATGAATCTGTTTTAAAGGCATACATTTCATTCAATTTTTATAATTTGGTATTGAATAGCTTACTTTAAGTATATTGACTAATTTTTTTATTTTAGTTGTTTGTATTTCAATTTAGTATAACATCGTGATAACATAAGTGTGTACTTTAATTCCCTAATACGAAGCCTGTACTGTGTCTTCTTTTGGATTCAGTACTTTAAATTAATAATACTGAGATTTTCACATTCATTAAGAAAAACATTAATTAATCAAATTCATTCGCAATTTTTGTGTTACTGTAATCAAAAGAAATTCAATGTATTATTTGTACAATCTAAGAATATTTTTCGAATAATAACATAAGTAATAAAATAAGATAAGAAGTTAAAACAATATTTTTTCGGGAGTTAATAAAGATAATACTTTTATGAAGGTAATTAGAAAGACAAACTTTATGGCATTGAAAAAAGTAAAAAAAACTGTGGAATGCGGTCAAGCGTAAAAATTTAGTAAAAATAAGCGAGAGTGAAAAGACCGAGCCCGCGACACAGATACACATGTTGTTTTCCGCAGATAAATTAAATTAAACAAAATAAATCAATCTTTACCA